CACTGCCAACATTTCTGCAGCTGGTTTTGTGAAAACCCCTATTTCTAGCATTGGCTTCTATTTTTTCAGTACAATGTGTGTAGTCTAGGTGGTTTTGGTCAAGAGCTGTATCTCATGGCTGCAGGCAGGGGCTTGGGCTGCTGCTGACAGCCTTGAGCAGTCAGGCTCAGCACTGCAATAAGTACACTCAGGTTTTTAACCAGGATTTTGTTTTCTGCAGCTGGTTTTGTGAAAACCCCTATTTCTAGCATTGGCTTCTATTTTTTCAGTACAATGTGTGTAGTCTAGGTGGTTTTGGTCAAGAGCTGTATCTCATGGCTGCAGGCAGGGGCTTGGGCTGCTGCTGACAGCCTTGAGCAGTCAGGCTCAGCACTGCAATAAGTACACTCAGGTTTTTAACCAGGATTTTGTTAAATATTCTTGTTTTTCCCTAAAAGGATTTACTGCTTTAGGGTACTGAAAGAGGCATGTTCAACTCATAAAGAACCTGCACGCAGGTACTTTGCTGAACAGCTTGGTTGCAAGAGTAGTTAGCCAGCCTTAATTAAAACAATGGAAGTGAATTACATTTTCTACCTAATTATATGATCTGTCTGTGAAATAAAAATGGAGCAGTGTCTCAAGGCCTCTGGTTGTCTTACAGAGAATGGTGCAAGCAAAACCACCCAAACTCCCTTATCCTCTTGAGGTGCCACTGGCACAAGTGTATTTGCCAACAGAAAGCAGCCACCCACCGTGTTAACGACCACTTGGTACTTCTATACAGAAGCCCTCTGCAAGACCGTAAGTTAAGCTACACAGGAAAAATACATATGTACAATCATGAAAAGAAAGAAAACCATTGACTGTGCTAAGGCCACAGACCTGCACCTTCTCCTTCTTCACCCAAGGGCAATGGAACTGCAACAGCAGAATAAACCCCTGTGGCCCAAGGTAAACAGTGCTCAGAAATCTGTTACAGGTAAATTTCACAACAAAGGAGATAAAATGGTATCTTGGGAGCCAATGAAGCATGTTTTTGGGATGTGCAGTCTCTGCTGTGGAGCAGGGAGCGCCATGAGGCCACCCAGGGAAGAGAGAAGTCTGCGCAACAGGTGAGGCTTTCTCTACGATCCAGGTCCAAAGGGTCCAGCTTTCTCTGCCACCTCCAGAGCAAGTTTCAAGTTCTGATCAAACAACTCACACCTGAAACAGTTAGGAAAGCAAAAGGGATGACTCTACCCACAAAATAAGCTAACAAAGATGGGATCTGCACATCCTTTGGCTCTGCATCTTTCAAGGGGAGAGTCAGGAAATTATGACACAGGAACCTGGCTGCTGTCAAGCTTTGGCTTTGTCCTTAATTGAGATTATGGCTTCTTGTATGGGCCTGAGTGTTACACTGGGACAGCAGGGTTTGTGCTAAGGAAGCACACTTCCCACCTCCCCAGCAGAGCAGCACTGGAAAAAAGCACAGGTCCCTATCCTGTCCCTGCAGGAGTGTGCTGTGCCATTCCCCCTTCCCTCAGCCTTTGGGCCTGTTTTGCTACTTAAGGGCTGTGTGCATTTACTATTGCACAGGCAAAAAATGATGGGGGTTGCAGACAGGTTACTAAAAGTGGGGTTTTCCTCACCTGATTGGCATCTCCAGGGAGTAGAAAGGATTCTTCAGAGCAAAGTCGGAGTAAATTTCATAGATTTTGCGGAGAAGAGCATCTATCCCTGTCTGCCTCGGGTCAGCAAGAACCATGAATTTGATCCCTGAAAACACAAGGCCAGGGCTGAGAGGAAGGCTGAGCACAGGGGCAGAGCAGAGCAGTGCCTGGGGCCGGACGGTACCTGTCAGCGTCTGGAAGCAGTGCAGCTTGAAGGTGTCGGTCTCCAGCATCTCGATCCCGGAGCTGCCAACCTCCGGGGACAGCTGCGACCCGATGGCGAACAGCCTGCGGGGACAGGAGCCCGGT